AGTTAGGGTTAGGGTTATGGTTATGGTTAGGGTTAGGGTTCGAGTTAGGGTTAGGGTTATGGTTAGGGTTTATAGTGGCATCAATGGATGTGCGGCATATTCACGTTCGAATACGGCATCAGTGGATGTCCAGATGCGTAGCCTGGAGGCTAGGCGACCGATTCCGGACGTGTGGCCACTGCGTATTCGAATAAACCTTCGGTCTATCGGGCCTTCGGTCTATAGGGCTGTAACCTTCCCATTTCGCCAGTTTCCCATTTCGCCATTTTCCCACTTCACCAGTTTCCCATTTCGCCAATATTTTATGTTGCTTCCAACCCCTGCACGAAATTGATCCTTCCAGTTCTTAAAAAAGAGTCATTTCTAGGTCGTTAGGGTGAGGGTTAGGGTTAGGGTTAGGGTTAGGGTGCCTGTACATGATCCATATGTTTTGATATATGTACGATTTCGCCTTCTTGTTCTTCAAATAAATAGTTGACTCCATATCTAAAGATTCGTTATAATTTATTCATTACAGAGGCCTACTTGTAACCCACCTCGAACAAGGGGGCGGTCAGGGAGAAATGGCGGAATGGGAAACTGGCGAGATGGGAGGGAAAATGGCGAAGTGGGAAATTTTTAATGGCGAAATGGCAAATGGCGAAGTGGGAAATGGCAAAATGGAAATAAACCGTGCCATACAATCAGGAGTGTATAATGACAAATAATGACAAGTAATGACAATGTCATTATTATACACTCCTGATATAATGTATATAGACACAACCTTTATGTCACAATTTCATGGGTATATGTAAAATGGTTTTTGCATAAAAAGCAAGTATTAGTGATGCTAAATATTTCCTCTAAATCTTACATGATGAAACGTCTTTAACCTAAGTACACAGCAAAAAAACGTTGACTTACTGTATGAACATGAACATGATGTGCACACCACATGCAATGTGAGAATTGTCAGAGATTATTTCTATCAAGATAACGGCAAAATAGGAAGTATAAATTATAATGCAGCAATTTAATCACAAAGAGTGTTTAAAACTCCATCCTTAATCGCATCTAGGCTATTTTTAAATCGCATACACTATACCTATTAATAATAATTTTGCAATGAAATTGGTCACAGAAATCTGTAGTGGATCTAGAACTGATTTGTTAGTGAATGAGGAATCAAGGAAGGCAATTATCAACATCAGAAGTGAAAACCGCCCTTCCCCCGCAAAACACATGAAATTAAATCTAATTTGGTGGTATTGTGTAAATCATAACTTAATATCATCGGTCTAATTATCAATTTTAATTATTAATTTTTTAATTTATTAATTATCACGGTATTCATATAAACAGACAGTGGTTGTAGCCTCTCCGCTTTAGCCCACCGTTTGTATGCTCGTGATGACGATGATGATGCTAGTTATAAAGATGCCGCTAACGAGCCCATACATAACGTAGCAGATTAACTACGTACCTACCTATATCTCACGCTAGTGATGGGAATCGGCTGGAATTTCATAATCGATTATTGGTTTCCCTTAACCGATCGATAATCGATTATAATCGGATAATCGGTTAATAACTTAATAATAGCATAGATTTAATTTAATCTTACTTTGTATATATACAATTATACATAGCATTCAATATTATCATGTTTTATGATCATCATTCATGTATTAAAGCCGCACAATGCGCATCCAAACGCTAATTTCCCCAGTACTAGACTAGCAAATACTTCGTGTCATGCATAATCACACTACCTTATGACAAAATAAACTCTAGTT